ACCGCATCACCGGCCAGTGCTGATTCTGCCTTAATTAAGGACTAACCTTTTGGCAGTTGCGAGCATCGCTGTGTTAACTCGGGAGCGACTCCAGAGCAGAGCGGCATCCCAGTTAAGCAAAATAAATTGTACATGATAGCTTAAAATAAGAGGAGGTCCCAAAGGATTAACACTTTGCCGGCTGCCCTTGCTTCCCAGCCGCTGGGGCATGCACCGAGATGCTTGAGGCTCATCTTCCACCAGTGGAGGATTTTCTAAAACGCCAGACCTTGTCCCCAAGATACCGGTTCCAGACTCAGTGTTACAAACATCACATCTATAACAGCTCTTATTTTCCCGAGAAACATTTTCACATGATGGGAGGAGTTAAATTTGGTTCTCAAACCCTCCCTCACCTACATCCACATCGCTGGGAACTTCCCTCTACCTCCAAGTCTTACTGTTTGGGTGTCTCCTGGACAGCCCCAGCTCTCAGGTTTGATGATTTTGGGGGAATTCCTGCTTTTATTTGTTGGCTTGGTTTTTTTGTTTGTTTTTTTTTTTTTTTTCCTAGATTGCTCCCTCTTACAGCCGAAGAGAGAAGCTTTAAAACGCCAGCCCGGGGAATTACAAGCCCTTGTCCGCCCTGGGATCTCTGCCTGCTCCATCCCCTGGTCCTCCGGGCAGGTCTCACCCCTTGGACCTCTGCAAACTTACAGCTTGTGTGGGGGTTTCGTACTCCCTTCCCAGAGGAGGGAAACAGAGAAGCAGGCTGTCCCAGCTGCAGGGCTGCCTGCTCGCTGGAGTTGCGCCTGGGAAAGGAGGGGTTTGGGGTGCTCTTACTTCCTCTCCTCCAGGTTGGAGTTGGGATTCTTCATCTCCATTAACGCGCAGCCAAATTTCTACAGAAAAGAAATTCAAAAAGGTCATCGGTTTTGCCAGCCTCTGCAGGAAACGGAGCGGTGCCCAAAGCCTGGGCTGCAGCCCTGCTCCCTGCTGGCTGTGCCCCGCAGCCTGCACCGCTGTTGTGCAGGGCTGGATGAGGTCGTAGCTCCCCGGCACCTTTTCGGTGCCATGACATCGGTTGTACAGGATGAATTGTCTCACGGCGAGGAATAAGGAGATATCCCCATTTCAGAGCAGGCTGGAGGCAGGCAGGAACAACACCAGGTGTAACACAGAACCTGGACCTGTTTTGGGCCATTCCAGCTCAGGCTGAGCAAAAAGAGGACGCTCCTCCCCGTTTCCCACCACCTCTCTTCTGCCCGTGCCCCTGCCGTGGTCGCCCGTCCCTGCGCTCTGTCCTACCTCTCCGTTCTCAGGTGGGTCTCCATTGCCAAAGGTGCTTGTGACCACCAGGACCATGGTTTCGTGCTCTAGGTGCACGATGTCGTACTCGTCCATGGACATCACCTGGGAGCAACAGAAATGTTAGCCAGGGGCCTTCGGTGGGGAGATGTACCACCAGCCAGTCTCCCGGGACGGGCCCCAGCCCACCTGGGGATGGACGCAGCATCTCCTTGCTGACTCCATGCCAGCGCACGGGTAGAGGTCTCCACACGGGGAGCATGAGGACAAGAGCCTCAAGGGACATGGACAAACCACGGGGCTGCCACCTGAGCTGCCCCCAGAAGACAAATGTGTGCCACACTGCCTGCAGGAGCATCAGCTGGAGATGCTGCCCAAGTGCAGGCTCCAAGCCAGACCCAGGAGGTCACATCCTGGGAGCTGCTGAAGACCCTTGGCAGCTGGGACGCTCCACGTGCATTGAGCCGCGTATTGCTCCAACAGCCACGTATTTCCTTGGGCCACCCAGGCGCACGCATGGTCTTGCAGGGGCAGGAGCTGGGTACAATACCTTAGCATCGAAAGCGTGCTTGAAGATTTCACACAGAGTTTTTGCATAGACCTGCGACTTCCCTGTTTCAGTGGCGTATAGGATGGTCGCTTTGACCCTCTTGGCCATGGCCTGTCCCATCAGCTTGGCTGAGAACTTCACAGCTCTAGGAAGCAAGAATAAATCCCGTAAGAGAGCTTGTTGCCTTGTCGGTGCCTCTAGCCCGAATTATTCACACTCTTTTATTTATTATTAAATGAACAGCCTGCCTTAAAAACTGCAGCACTTTTTTTTGTTGTTGTTACATGCCAAACAGGGAAGCTGTGGGAGAGCCTGTCTGTCTTGGTTTGCCAGAGGGGAAGACTAGATGAGGGGGCTTGAAGACAGAGCTGAAGTACCTGAGTGGGTACAGGGAGGAAAATGCTAAACCGAGTGTGGAGCTGCCCTTTCTGCAGGGACAGGGAAGCAGAAAAAGGATTGCTTGGGTTGCACCAAGACCAGCGTTGGCAAGTTTGTTATTTTAGGGCCACTCATAATGACGTCGGTATTATTTTTCCTAAGTGGAGAGTATCCTCACCATTTCTAAACGGGCCATCAAGCTTTAAGTGGAGCCAGCAGAAAGGCGGGTCTGGGTTTAGCCTGGTGCGTTGCAATAGGGAAGGGGCAGTTTTTGGGGGGTGGAGGGATACGGGCTGCTCGATTCACTTCGGCGGGGTGATCGAGCTCAGCGGGACTCCTGCATCCCCTTCAGACGAGCCTCGGGGAACGGAGGTTGCAGCTGCACTGGTTACACTGGGAGAAGCCTCGCCTCGCCCTGCCCCTCCTGCCAAGGAGGGAAGAAATGCTCTAGTTTTGGAAACTTGCTGGTTTCCCCAAAAAAAAAGGCGAGGAAAGAAGAGGTAGAAACCCCACCAGGCTGGTATGTCCTGGCCCCTCCAGGCAGCTCCCCTCCACGCCGAATTCAGCCTCGGGAGCATTTACGTCTGCTGCTACGCCGTCACCCCCTCACCCCTCAGCGTCGTTCCGCAGGTTAAAGTCACCCCTTTGCCTTCCCGCGACGGCAGTGACCCCGGGCGCACACACAAACAGAAGCGCTGTTTCTCCTAACTCAGTGGCCCAATTAGCCTCCCTGCGCTCCCCGCCAGCCCCGGGCTGCAGCCCAGACCCAGGCACCAGCGGCAGCCGGGGGAGCAC